AATATGAGTGGTATTAATATAACTAAATAGGATTTTCCCATGAATATCATTTCATATATAGTAATCATTACATGCTTAAAGTTGTAAAAATGTTACAAAGACTACTTCTATCAGTTTGCTTCAGCTTACATTCAATTAATGTGGTATAATTTATCTCAGAGAATATCTTTCATATCATTTAATAGTGCTTGTATTTGTTGAGTTTGCACTTTTGAAATTACTCTTTGTTATATTTTATGTCCAATGCAACAATACCTTAGCATGGTTCTTTGAAGTGTAAATATAGTAATGAAAGTGACCAAGAATCTAGAACAAATACAGAATATGAATCTAGTCATGCTGGGACAAGTGAATCTGTGAGTGTACTGATTTCCCACAAGTAACCAAAGATGAACAGTGTAGACAGGACATATAATGAATCTTTGAAATTGAATGATATTCATTCATCAGTTTGTTCTTCTCTAGGTCTCAACATGTTGCCTGCTTTCAAATGTCAAACAATAGCATGAATCCTTATTGTAATATTCAAACAAAATATCGTGACCACTCAGGTGAACCAATGATCTGTTCTATTCCAAAACAAGTAGAAAAGAGTGTTCTCCAATACGAAAGTGATGAAATTTGCTGCTAGATCAAACAATGCTAATATCATTCATTCTTATGAGTCTCATTAAAAGGAGTTGCATATCACGGCATTGCTGAACAGTAGTTGCATAGCAGATGATAAGAATCATATTCAGAGAGAACACAGAAAAAGCTTTTGGCAAAATGCTTTAATAAATGTAGAAGCTAACAACAAAGGCACGCATGGTGCAAGAGCAGTTACCATCAGTTGTGCACACAGTACTTCTCAGTGGGAGGAAATCACTAATGAGAATCAGGGTGTAAATCAGCCCTCGGCAAACTGTGGTATATAATATGTGAGTGAGAAGTTCTGGCTGACTTTTTGGTCTCCTTCTCCCTGAAAACCCATGCTAATTACTTGCTTGATTACAAAAATTCTGCAAGTCATAATCTTACCAGGAAAAGGTGCGCTAAGATCAGCAGTGACAGAGCACCAGGCAGGTACGTAACAAGAATGATATTCAAATAAAAGAGCTGCAGCTGAGTGCTGATCCGCACTGTGCTTTATTCAGAGAGAATAGTAGGCAGTTTTATACAACACACACACAAATACAGTTGGCTCTGTTTCTGTGGAGAACCTTGATTAATACAAGCCCCTTTGGTGACCTCTGAGAAGGTAGACCCTGTACCCAGTGGTATGGGATTTGTCCAAGTCCAGAAGTAACAGGAGGAGCCAGAACTCCCCGGCACATGGGTGGTTGGCCTGGATGCAGGATCACAGTAAAGGGAATGACCCAGCACTCCCAGAGAGAGGCTGGTCAGACTCAGGGAGCAGAACCACGTGGCCACAGTGGAGTTGGGTGGCTTTGATTGTGGGTAAGGTAGAGTAAGTGGCTAAGGAATCAGGATGTGGCATCCAAGGAGATCTCAGGAGGAGCATAAAGTGTGTCTGAAACTGACCTGAAGCTAACTTTGGGCACCAATTACCCAGATTTTTAATGTTTAATACATAATTTAAAGGTAAAATATCAGGACTTCTTCGAAAGGCTGAATTGTATACAATTGGCTCAATCACTAAAGACCTTACATTTTCACAAACTCCTGAGGATTCTTCAGACATCTGACAGATAAATCAATGATGTGTTATTCAGCCTATTTTAAATCACATTCAAAAGCTGCAGCAGTGAATCAATCACTTCCAGAGTCTACTGTGGCCAAAGAATGAATTAAGAATCCATTTACCCTGCCTCTGCTAACCCAACACACTCAGACTTCAGTGTTTGAGTATGATATGCTACAGTCCTGGCATCTGTTGGAGCCCTAAAATTGTTCTCTATTTCTGCATAACAGATTACTCCCAAACTTAATAGCTTAAAACAACAACAATCATGTATTTGTTTACAATTCTGCGATTTGGAGAGAGTTGGGCAGGGACAGCTTGTCTCTGAGTCATTGGTGTTGGCTGGGTTAGCCTGACCAGGGGCTGGGCTGCAGGTTTCCCTGCTATCAGAAAGCAAAGCCTTCCTATGAAACCTTTCATAAGCCAAAATGGCATAAAGCAAAGAAGCAATTATCTTAGGACATATCTTGCTAAGGAGTGTACAAAATAAATCAAGAGAAAGCACAGATGCTCTCAGATATGGTTCAAAGGAATGATGGCCTGTGGCTGAGAGGCCGAGTGTAGTTCTTGGGAGGGATCTCAGTGGTGCCTTGCTTGCTACTTTGGCGTGTGCTGCCTGTATAATGGCTGCTGCAAAATAAAGGGTGAACACTAGTTTCACTTTTCATTTTTTCCCTAAAGGTGAAATCCCCGTTGGATTTTTGATTTAGCAAAAACAACTAAGGACTAATGTAGGTCTTTCAAAAAAATAAGTGGCATAAAATGAACTTTCGAAAGTCGAAGGATACCTCTATCTGAGAATGGCCTTATTCATACAGCAGGCAGTCAGTCCTAGCTGTTGGCTGGGAGCACAGCTGGGGCTGTCCCTAGGACACTGTGGTTCTCCTGCATGTGTGGGCTTGAACAGTCTCAGTGCATGATGGCTGGGTTCCAAAAAGGAGCATTTCTAAGGGGAACACTACAGAGAGGATGGAAGAGATTTCACCTCTTGATGAGATGAGTAGCAGAGG